ATGAAATCAATTTCACTACTATATCTAGAGCTATGCCAAGTAGAGGAGGAAGAGTTAGTGTGTGCAGCAAGGTTGTACATGTTGTTGTAAGTAAGAAATTGGAGTAGCTTGTATTTGATAGAGGATGAGTGTATATTGTTAGTAGAGGCGTTGAAGTCTCCAAGTATAATGGGAAGTAAGTTAAGGGTATAGGTTTCTTGATTATTAGTTTAAGAATAATTGCCAAATATTACTAAAAAAATATCTTTTTGTGACTTACAGAAATTTTTAGAGCTTTTGGTTTTTGAATTTGTAGATTTTAAAATTGGAATATATTCAATCAATACTTTTGATTCTGTGATATTTTTTTCAAATTTGGAATATTGCCAAGAGAAAGGAATATTGTATGCCCAAAAGATTTTCCTATATGGTCTAAAGTTGTTGTATCAGAATAGAGAATAATTAAAAGTAGTCACTAATTTAATACAAAGAACAATTCTTCTTGCTTCCACCAATTGCTCTTCAATTATGTCTAGCTTTTTATTTTGTGTATTCCATTTTTCTTTATATTGTAATACTAAATTTTTATTAATACTATCAGTTATCAATAAAAACTTTATTGTCTTTATTAGTTACTGATAATAGAAAGTATATTCAATGCCCTGAAATGTAATGATGAGGGTTTCTTTGAACATAGCATATAAAATTTCATAACCATCTAGAAAATCTTTTTATATTCTTGTTGATAGAGGCAATAGCAAAATGTCCAAATTTGAATATTTATTAAAAAATTTTATAATTGCATCACCAGCCGAATTTGATAACTGATATTTGGTAATAAGCATCATAAACTTTTGATAGGCATTATTAGACCATTTTACTTTTAATAGATATTGCAAATCTTAATAATCATCACTTATTGATGCCTCTTTATAATCTTCCTGGTCAATTTCAATATTTTTTTAGTTCATTTCTAATTGTAAGCTATTCAATCTCAGTTATAAAAGATTCATGTTTATTTATATCAGATTTAAATTCATTCTCCATTATACCTTCTATCATATCTTCCACCATGTCTTCTGCCATGCTTTCTATTACATCTTTCACCATGTTTTTTACCATGTCTTTTATTATATTAGGTTCTGATTTATCTATTTCACTTTTACTTAATATTTAAAATAATAAATAATAGTTAATCAATATTTTTAAATTTAAAATAAATATTTATAATCTTTTTATTGAAGAATTTTTATCAAAATTTTCTGGTGGTAATAAATCCCATAAGTTTCATATACTTAGATCAAGTTGTATACTTGGGTCAAGTTGTGGTTGACATATTGTTGATTAAGATGTAGAGGTTTCAGTATAAGAGTAAATTTGTGAAATATGTTGTGCTAAATTATTTGATCTTTGAAAATTCATAGTTATTCTAATTTTATTACAATATGAATATGACCAAGTCATGTTTATTGATTTAATATTTGGCAATTAAGAGAATTAGTCAAAATGATAAAATTAATTCTAAACTAATTTTTTTTATTTATCAGTTTCCAAATGATTTAAACCTTTTTTAAAGTAAATTGAATTTTAAAGAAAACATTTCTAGTGTTACAGAGTAATTTGTATGTTATAATAATTTATATATAAAAATTATAAAATTAAAGTGATAAAGCAATTTGCAAGATGCAAAATGTTAGTGATTTCACAATAATTTTATTTTATAAAAAAATATTTATACCCGGAAGAGGTAGACAAACACAGTTCTCTAACGCATAACCTGAGTACTGCTACTTCTTGCGGAACCGTGAG